AAATAACGGTTTTAGAACCTTGGTATCTTTGGACCAAATCCGTTTCAGTACATTTGGAGTCGATCTAGCGCTGTCCGTCCGTCTGCCTGTCTGGCTGATGCGCACCATAACTCTCGAGGGGAGTACCATATTTCATCCAAACTTGGTATATCGTAATATTATTTTCAAAGTTATATCGAGTTCGGAGATCAGCAATATCGGTCCACTCTTTCTAGTACCTCCCCCACAAAATGTCAACATTTTTAAAGAAAATAATTTATTGCACAGAAAGAGAAGGTATTTTGCTCCAACTTTGTAAATCCTAATATTTGAATCAGTGACTTCACCCCATCAAATACCTCCTCCACAAGGGGCCAAAATTAATGAAAATGAATAATTTTAACTCTTATAAAATGTGACGTAATAGTCCGATTGTCTTCAAATTACACATATCACAACACTTTTGTTAACCCAGAATCTGATGTGAAGATGGAATATATCGGTCCACTTCATCAAGTACCTCCCCCATAAAGGGTCAAAATTTTGAGTATCCATGAAGCTCATAAAACACAAAATTAACATCCGATGGCATTCAGACTTGACACATCTAAATATTTCCATCAACACAATATCTGTTATAATGATGTTAGAGATGGGACTACTCCTTCTGGTACCTCCCCCATAAAGGGTCAAAGTTTTGAATAAAAACAACGGCTATAAAATCCGAAGTAAGCATCCGGTTCTCTTCAAATTACGTGCATCACAATATTTTTATTAATCTAATGTCTGGTACGAAGATGGTAGAGATTGGTCCACTCCTTTTTGGTACCTCTCACACAAAGGGCAACAATTTTTAATATCTATGAAGTTCATAAAGCGCGAAATAAATATCCGATTCCATTCAGACTTGGTACATCTCAATATTTCCACCAACACAAGATCTATTATAAAGATGGTAGAAATCGGACCATTTCTTCTGGTGCCTCTTCCACAAAGGGTTCAGGATTTTGAAAACAAAACGTTTAAAGAAAGCGAAATAACCATCCAAATCTCTTCAAATGTCACTCATCCAAATATTTTTGCTAATACAGGATCTGTTGTGAAGATGATATATATCTGCGAACCCCTTCTGGTACCTAACCCACAAAGGGTCACAATTTCCAATACTTTTATCTGTCATGACTTGCGAAACAAGTCGTCTATTCTTTACAACTTGCTATATCTAAGTACTCTCTTTGAAATCATACAAAGGAGCCTGAGAAAGCCTTTAATAACGTGGAACTACTTCTATTAATTTCTGCGGGAAAAATAATTTGTAGTTTTAGCATAAAAACAGGACAATTTTTTTAGAGATATATTATAAATACATTTATTGCCTAAAAACACATGTAACCCTTCTAAATATTTAATATTTGAATATAGACCTTAATCCTGAGTTAGGCCAAAACGCCAGTCAGTTTGTTTGCATATTTTGCAGCAAAACTTTAATACAAAAAATATATTGTGTAGGTATATAATAAATATGGAATGTAAAGAATACATTTAAAGAGATTGCCGCATTCTTCCAATCCAATAAACTTGATTAAAACTCATCCGAGCGCCTTCTTTTCTGATTATTCGATTTTTTGTCTTTGATTTCAATCAGACTTTTATCCTCGACTACTTCATATTTCAATAGTTTGGAGTAATTCGTCATCAAATGTTTCCAATAACATTCAATATCTTCCATTCGCAAATGATGCCATATAAACTCATAACCAGCCTCTGCAATGTTCTTGGCCAAATCATCATTTCGACGAAAGAACTCCATGATTTCTTTAATTTCACTTTGGCTGGGATTCTTGTCCAGTGGCACATAATGTTTCCAGGGTTTTAAAGCCGGATAAAAGAATTCCAGCCATTCATTGCCAACATGAAAGACCAAGGAACGACATAAGAATAAATGTTTGAAGCGAAATGAGGCGGCGACGCCACGAAAATTAAAAAGATATTTAAACTGACAATGATATTCAAATGAGACTTCTTGTGCTGGCTCTTCACCCAAGGTGTCTTTGGGCGATTTCCAGGCTTGATTTTTGGTATAGGCAGCATCAACCCAATTGGGGTTCGAACGTGAAAGCAGTACCAACGAATCCCTTTCGTGTGAGGTTCTCGAACCCCGAAAGAAACCTTTGGCAATTTTCTTTTCCCAGGGAAATTCTAGACCAGCTTTATTGATCTTCTCTCGTTGAATATCCCATCTTCCTATGCCGGTTGGAAATAGTTTAATGGCGGGTCCACCAGCCCAGAACGTCCATGCTGGATACATGATGTCACGATAATCGCTGGTCTTCGAAAAGGAAAATACGGGCAACACGTCCCTAGCAAATCTTCCACTGACCTGTGGATAATCTCTCGTATTCACCACAAAATCCATATTTGGCAACGAGGGAGCAATTTTCAACAGAAAATACTCTATGCCCTCACAGCGAGCCGGGAAAAAACAATCCGCCGTTCGATACAATTTTTGATTGAAAATTTTGTAAAGTGTGCCAAATTTGGTGGCATCTTTTATATTTTGTTTCGTTATGCCCTGCTTTTGGAATACTTCCAGATCTTTTTGCCACACCTTTTGATGACACTCACATTTGGGATCTTGCGGTTCAGCGGAACAAGATTTGTATTTTGCCCAGGTCTTTTCAATTTTCGAAACAATGCGTTGAGAAGCTATAATTTATAAGTTTTACTTTAATTAACAAATATAGAAAAATTAATAAAATATTTTTGTAAATATTACCTGCATCGTCATTTCGATTATTAGTTGTAGACTCTGCTTTACTGCTGTCCTCACATCCATTCGCTGTCTCTTCCGTACACATCCCTTTTGAAGTGACATCCTGTTGTATTGTCTCTGCGGAAATGTTTAATAATTGCAATAGTTTTAAAAATAATACAAACAAAATTGGGAACTTCATTGGAATTTAGAGTTGCATCCAATGTGTGATGAGTTGGTTGTTATTGTGTTTGAGTGAAGCTTCTGTTCTGTGGTTTTGTTGCAGAACAAATGAAGTCGCCCCAAACGAAACGAATATAAAGGCCAAAAAGAAATACTTGATAAAAATAAACATAAAAAGCAAAAACTCCGAGAGACCTCTGTTGTTTACGAATGAGATATAATGAAAACTGAACTCATTCACTAAAAGAGCGCGGAACTAGCTACAAAATTTGCGCCCAGACAACAAAACGGAATGATTTAACGGCGACGAATTTCATTTGCGGCATTGCAAAAATACAAAAAATTATAGAATAATGCAAGTAGATGCATCAGCAGTTGTAAATATAGAAATTAGAAAGTTGCTGCAAAAAATTAAATAAAAAGTATGGCACAATTTATTATTTATTGTTTTGAAAAATAAAAACAAATTTGCTTGCAAAATAAATGCAAATTTTTGACATAAAAGAGTAACAAATTGTACTATTTTAGATTCAAACTTGTGGAATAACCCCGAAATTCCATTCTTGTTTCGCGGGTATTCCCCAATATAAGAATATTGTGAAAAAAAGAATAAATATTAATAAAGCCTGGCATCCCTTTATGATATGTCACAAAATGTGCCATGCGAAGATTTTAAGCTGTTTATGTACTTACTACCCCTTATTCATTCCAGTTCGATTTTCACTAAATTTGACGGAGACATTTTAACCTTTTATACCAAATAAAATGGCTATAGAGTGCATGATAATACTTCGAGAAGGATTATATTAAAAAATATATGTCGCAGTCGATGTCATTGTTGTCGGATGCATATTAGGAATGTGAGGGACTTAAACACTAAACCGGATGGAACATATATATCGGAGCTATTGCTATATCTGAACCGATTTTCACCAAATTTGCTTCTAGACTGAATTCGGTCGGATGTGCCAAAATGCAGGATTTTGGACTGATATTGGCCATTTGGTGCAAAATAATCCCGAAATCGGTTGAAGATATATGTATATGGGAGCTATATTCAAATCTGAGCCGATAATGATACAATTTGGCAGAGGTATTTCTGAGCCGTATCTGATATCTGTTACCAAATATCATTGTTGTCCAATGCATATTACGAGTGTGGGGAACTAAAACACCAAATCGGATGAAACATATATATCGGAGCTATAGCTATACCTGAACCAATTAACCCGAAATCTGTTGAAGATATGTATGGCAGCTATATCCAAATCCAATCCGATCTTGATACAATTTGGCAGAGGTATTTCTGAGCCGTATCTGATATCTGGTACCAAGTATCATAGTTATCATATATATGGGAGATATTGCTATATCTGACCGACTTCCACCAAATTTGATGTACTTGCTTCTAGACTAAATTCGGTTGGATGTGCCAAAATTCAGGTCATTTTGACTTATATTGGCCTTTTGGTGCACAAATACCCCGAAATTGGGTGAATATATATGGCAGGTATCTAGATCTGATCTGATTGTCACCAATTTCAATAGAGTTCCTCCTTGGGCAAACAAATTTTGTTTGCAAAATTTCATCTCATTCGGACAAAAAATCCGACTTGCATTTTGTAGGACATGATACCATGATGTAAAGAACATTTGACCTTTCATTCAGTTTTCGCGGTTTTCACTGATTTTTTGATTGCATTTCGGACATTACAAGCCAAACAGGTAGATCTCTATACTTGCAATTTTTTCAAAGCTAGTCTACTTTGTCTTAATTGTATCATGGATTCTTGCAGATTCTGGAACGGAGATTTTGTAATCTTCATTATATTTAATTTGCTCCTTTTCTATTTAAAATTTCATTGTGCTGCTATTTTGTATAAATGAACAAATTAGAACTAACAAGTTGCAAAAGTGCAATATCCTTGCATGGAATGAAAAAGAACTATTTTTTACCTAACCAGAATCCAGCCAACAGCTGTCATCGAAAAACAGCAATGTCAGCTCATTTGAAATAGGTCGCACATATGCTTATAAATTACCCGTTATCCAAATACTCATCACATTAACAACACTGATTTTTTGACATCAAAGTCAGTCTTTTCATTGGGTTCATATTTTGATTTTTTGTTTTATATCGAAGAAAAGGAAGATAGCAGTGGAGACGTGAATTAAAATATAATAAATTAACGCTTTGGTGTAATAGAACAGTGAGCCGTGAAAAATAACAAAAAAAGGAAAGAATGAGTGAATTTTTTAAATCTGCTATGGGTTATTTTAATAACCCAACAAACGCATCAACGAATACTAGCAACAACACATCACAGCCAAATAGTGGTGGCTCATCCGTAAATGTCAACAACACGTACAGAAGTTCATCGTCGTCGTTGCAGGAAAATGACTTTTGTGGTCAAATAGTTGAAATCAATGGCCGAAAATTGCGTGTAAAAAGAGTTATTGCTGAAGGTTTGTATTTTATTCTTTGGGTGAACAATGGTGCTCATGGTGATTAATAATTGCACCAACTCACATATCTACACACTCGCACACACACTCGTTTTCAACTTCGACCTCCGTTCACAGCTTGGCAATAAGAAAAGGGAACACAGAAAAAAAGTTAAGGAAAAGAAAAAAATCAATACATGTTTGTTTTTTTCTGCCTTTGTTTCGTTTATTTAGTGGGCGTTTATCTACTGTGTGCAATTTGTTGCAATGGGAGTAGGTTTTCATAATTTGCGTTTTCGTCTTCTTCCATACAGTTTTCCGATAAGAATTATGATGACAAAGGGCGAACAACTACAGCAAAAACGTTGCCTAATGTCTTGGCGTTTTCCAATTCGAAATCGTTCTCAACCAAATCAAGATGACACTTACAACGAACGTAACGAACTATCTCAGCTCTGCAGTGTTGTTAGTTAACCTTGAGTGAATGTTGTTGTTATTACTGCTGGTTTTGACCCCACCATATATGAGACATTGTGGTACGCAATGAAAACAATTAGACCTGCCATAACAGCATACGCCGTTTGGTGATGATTAAGTTGTTGTAGATAAGAAATAGAAATATAGGTAGACGACGTAAGGTAACATATGCACTGGAATAGACAATAATAGAAAGCAATTTTGTTTAATTTTTTTGGAATTATTCCATTTTTATTTTGTTTATAATGTTCCAGTAACACATAGTGTGAGCTATTATATCATTGGGAATACATTTGTTTGGAAATATAAATACCAATTAACATTTCCGTTTGTAACTCATCGAAATAATAATTTTAGATCCAATATATATTCTTGATCAGCGTAAAATTCCAAGAATGTCCATTGGTATGCAGTAATCACGCTAGAGTCAAGGAAGCCAAAATTTTGCATCGATCTGTCTTTTGTTTGCAGACAGGTCAAGTTCGAAGATGGGCTATATCGGTCCACGACATCCTATAGCCCCCATACAACAGTAAACCCGATAGTCGGTATTTTAATGATTTTAATCACATTTTCAATGGAATTGTCTGAAATTTTGCACAAGGGGTTCATTACGACTACTTTACCACCTGAAAAAGAATTGACTATATAGGTCCTCGATATCGTATATCAGTCATATAAGTTTACCTCCCTATTTTCGGTATTTTGATGATTTTAGTCACATGGAATTGTCTGGAATTCTACACAAGGAGTTCGATATCGTACAGCCCCCATACAATGGTGCCCCCCGGACAATTGAAGTCCAATTATATTTACAGCTGGTAAATCTTTCTTATTTTTTAAGGGACGTAAATTGATATCTGTTTTCAAGTTATTGCGATAGTCCATCTGCAATCTATTATCCGTTTTGCTACTACAGAGGCTCATACGGCTTAAATGTGTAGACATAACGATTTTGGACTCAGCGTCTATTTAAAAGCCAAATGTTAAAAATTTCCATAAAAATTATTAATCTCACATAATGCGTAGGTTGTATCAAATTTCCCCAAATTCGTACCTCTTTCAAATTGTAATCGTTGGCCGAACATTGGATGTTGTTGTTTCGGGTCAATCTGGTAACGTAGATCTCGCTGCCTAGATAGAGGTGCTTAAGGTGCATATCCCGCCGATTAATAACTGCGAACCACGATGATATTGATGGTAATGGCCAGGGAGGTTCATGGCTGACAGAGTAGATTGACTGTTCTACATTCTCCATGGTAAACGTGGATGCCCCCATCCAAATAAGAGGAGAGTGTCACAATTTGCCAGAACTAATCATAGTGTTACCCAGTCTGATAAAAAAAAAAAAAACATGATGTTTCTTTTTGGTTAGATCATATCCCAATAATCGTCTCCAAAGGCAGATCGCCCGATTTCATAACCTCGGAAGGCTGCACTTTTCTTAACAACCAGAAACTTCAATGGCCAGAATTCAGAGAGATCTCCAACACTCGCCTCAGAGAACTGGCCAACGCTTCTGATGTCCGAGTAGCAGTACTGATTTCCCGAGACGTCATCAAATAAACCAAATTTCCCAACAGAGGAAGCGGGACTGGCAAACGAGTTGTGATGATCTCCGTCGTTTCAACCCTACTGATCCCAGAATCAGTAAATTGGCTGTGGAAGTCAACCGGTTGGTCAAAGGGCATAAGAGAAAAAGTGGCTAGAACATCTGATGTGTTTTATCATTGGAACCGATATAAGTAAATCGCTCTCGAAAACTGGGAAAAAGGATTATAACTTTTAACGTCGGGCAACCCGAGAGCGATAGCGAAGAGTACTACGTCATATTAGATCTCTTCCCGCCGATGAGAAGTTTTCCATTGGTGATGTTGCAAACTCTATCCAAAGCGTTGGACCCAAACAGAATCTCAATGACAATGCACCCCATATCCACACATATCAGTAGAAGATTTAACCAGAATAAGCCGTGTAATAGAACAGTTTTGGTAGACCTTGGCCTATCGAAGAGCATTTGATAAAGTCAACAAAAGAAATTTTACAATTATTTCATAAACATTTAATCTCTCAAATTTAATATATTTTTCAATTGTTTATTTATAGTTTATCAATTTTTATTATTTTCCGATTGGTACAAGTTCAATTCACTCCCGTCTTTTATCTTTTCAGGCGGTTTTGCATTCGTTTATGTCGCCCAAGATATTCAGACGGACAAAGAATACGCTCTCAAGCGACTCATTGGTGCCGATAAGAAAGCATGCCAAGTTATCATCAATGAAATTAACACACACAAACGTTTGACGGGACATCCGAATATTGTTGGATTTGTTGCCGCCAGTTTCATAGATAAAACCACTGGACCCCAACAGAGGGCTGAATATTTACTCCTAACGGAGTTATGTAAAGGTAAATTCAAAATGAAATACAATTATGGAAATATATTTTAGGATTTTGTCATCATTTCTAACTCTCTTGTTTTTCCAGGCGGTTCACTAATTGATTGCATGGGCTCTAGCCTAGATCCTCCAGTAGTTTTAAGAATATTTTATCAGGCCGTTAAAGCTGTTGCTCATATGCATTCTCAAGCGCCGCCCATTGTTCATCGTGACATAAAAATTGAAAACTATTTGTTGGGTGATGACAAGCAACTAAAACTGTGCGATTTTGGTTCAGCAACAAGTGAGATTTTCTCACCCACCTTGGATTGGAATGCCCAGCAACGAAATACTCTGGAAGATCAGGTAAATTTTCTAAATTTCAAAGCACAATTATTTTTCCATTTATTATTTATCATTGCATATTTCCAGCTCAGCAGTGTTACGACACCCATGTATCGTGCCCCAGAAATGCTAGATACCTGGTCTAACTATGAAGTGGGCACCAAAGTTGATGTCTGGTCCTTGGGCTGTATTTTATATGTGCTTTGTTTTCAAAAACATCCCTTTGATGATTCGGCTAAACTACGCATAATTAATGGAAATTACACGATACCAACAGATTCCAGATTTCAATGTTTTCATGATATCTTAAGAGGTCAAGAGAGTTCGATTAGTAGTTTTAACAAAATTTAATTTATGTTTATCTTTACAGGTTGTTTAACTGTTGATCCTGCACAACGCTTTAGTATTTCAACAATATTAGATCGCTTGGCTGCCATATCGGAGACAATGCAGTGGAGCCTAAAAGGTCCTTTGGATCTACGTGGTAAACCCATTGTAACCACCACACCGGAGCATTTAAGCCCAAATCCAATGGCACAGCCTCAGCAGCAACGTTCCTCAGCAGGCAGTTCAATATTTTATGATGATCCTTCCAATGTACCACCAGGTCAACAAATGTCTTCGCAACAACAACAACAACAACCGCAACAAAGTTCCTCTTCTTCGGTTAACTCCACCAATGGCAGTTTACTGTCCTCTTTACGTGGTGGTGCTGGTAGTTTTTTAAAAAATCTCAAAGATACCTCCTCCAAAGTTATGCAAACCATGCAACAGACAATCGCACGTTCTGATTTGGATATTAGCTACATAACATCACGAGTTTTGGTCATGCCATGCCCTTCGGAGGGTTTCGAGTCGGCATATAAAACCAACAACATAGAGGATGTGCGTCTATCAATTGAAAGTCGATTTCCTCCGCAAAAAGTTAGTGTTTATAATTTTGGTCCTAGATCTTGCCCACGTTTAGCACCACCAGTGCGCACTGTGGAGGCTGGCAGTATATATGGTTGTTCCCAGGCGCGTGCACCTAATTTGCAGGTAATTTATGGACACATGACTTCAATCACTTTCAATTTATTTGTCCTTAAAACAAACTGAATGAAAAAACTGTCCTAAACTGCTGTTCGTTTTAAACAAATATTCAAATATTATTTTAGAAGCCTGAATTTATATCAATGTATATTTACAATATGTACTACTACATTGCAGGGACTTTTCTCCGTTGCCGAGGATATGTATGGTTTCCTTACCGCTGATCCCAAGTCAATTGTTATAATACAAACTGGGGATTCAGGAGGCTGTACGGCAGCCACACTGGTCTGCGCCTTGCTAATGTATTCAGATCTCATCTTGGAGCCGGAAGATGCTGTACAGGTATTTGCCGTCAAGCGACATCCCATCAATCTAAGGCCATCCGAATTTCGTTATCTTTATTATTTGGGTGATATACTACGACCCACTCCACTGCTGCCTCACTATAAAAATATTAATTTAATATCGCTAAGTTGTCAACCAGTACCTCGTATGACTAAGACCCGTGATGGTTGTCGCATTTATGTTGAAGTATACAACAATGAACGTCTCTTGCTCTCCACAATGCAGGACTATGAAAAGATGCGTTTGTATATGGCGGGTCCGGGTAAAATCACTTTGCCCCTCAATGTGACAGTATGTGGTGATTTTGTTGTGGTTCTATATCATGCCCGCAAGGGTATGGTTAGACCACAGGGTATAAAGATATGTCAATTTCAATTACATACTGGTTTCATACCCGAACAAGAGACATTGATTAATTTTGCAACACAAGATTTGGATGATTTGCCCACTGATGCGGAGTGTGTGGCATCGAATTTTGCCGTATCTTTGTCTCTGGCTGTTATGGATAGTGAAACGCCACCGGCCCGCAATCCGCCATGGCTTTTGGCAAAACCCAGTCGTAATGCTTTTAATTTGTTTAGTTCCCAATTGGAATACGAAGAAATGATTGATAATTTTGTAACGAAGCCAACAACAAGCAAGAGCACGATGCCAGTGCAACCGACAAGGGCTGCTGCTGAGCCTGCAAATAAAGAAAAGCCTATGACTCCGCCGTTAATAATGCCGGATATAACAGAAATTTCCCATGAATCCAATTTTACCCAACCTGATCCAGCGCCTCCCATAGATTTGCTAAATCTGAATCAACCTTCTACATCGCATCACAACTTTACCGACCCCCAGGCTACAGCTATGCCTTCAACGGATGCTAGTTTCGATCTGCTTGGTGCTTTTGGTGATGATGATTCATCGGGAATTGGCACCGCACCAATACCCGATATTTTGGCTAATAACTCTCAACCTAAATCGGCGGCAGATTTGGATGATATTTTTGGGCCGCTTCATTCGGAAACTTCGACTACATTTAATTTGGATTTCAATGCGTTTGCTTCGCCAACACCAACACCTCAGACTGCTACAGCTCCACCACCGTTTTGTGGTCCCAAAATAACAACAAGTAGTTCCGCTTCCAATGTACCATTTGGTACAATGCCTACTTTTACCACACAGACAGCTAGCAAAGAACCATCACCACAACAACAAACACAGCAGGTAAAGGGTAATGTTGAATAAGAAAATAATGTGTTAATCTTTGTGGTTCTCTCTTTTTTTTAGGCCAAAGATCCATTTGCCGACATTGCTAGTCTAGCTTCGGGCTTAAACATTAACTTTACGCCACAGACACTGGGTGGCAAATCGGCAGGACACACGCCAGTCGGTACCAGTCCCTTTGCCACACATTTTTCAAGTCCTACCCATAACAACAATGTACCCAATAGTAACATTCGTATGCCTTCTAACACAGTTCCACAGCCATCACCCAATCACATGAAGTCTCCAAATAATTCAACATTTGGCATGCAACCTCCTCCCACATCGGCATTTGGAACTCCCTCACCACAGCCCACCGGAGTTCAAAATCCATCATCCTCTAACACAAACACACGTCCTGACTATAGTCGCTCACATTTTGAACAGCCGAAACCTGCGACAGCCTCAGCATCACAACAGTCAAAGAGTTCAGATATTTTTGCGGATATTCTTGGAGAACAAGGCTACAAGTTTACCAGTAAAGCCAATCAGGGCCCAAGATCGATTAATGAAATGCGTAAAGAAGATTTAATCAAAGATATGGATCCCAAAAAAGTTATGATCATGGAATGGGTAAGGAAATCAAAGTTGAATATTTTCAAAAGATCTTTAAATATATGTCACTTTCTTTTTTTTAGACGGAAGGTAAAAAGAATAACATAAGGGCTTTGCTATGTTCCATGCATACTGTGTTATGGGCAGATGCCAAATTGACTAAGTGTGAAATGTCCCAGCTAATAACACCGGCAGATGTTAAAAAAGGTTATCGCAAAGCCTGTCTAGCAGTACATCCGGATAAGGTATTTGTATATAGAAATATTTCGATAGATTTAAAACGTTAATGGATATACTATTTACTTTATAGCATAATGGCACTGAAAACGAAGAGATTGCTAAACTGATTTTCATGGAACTGAATAATGCTTGGACTGACTTTGAAAATGATGCCACTCAACAGAATATGTTCAATTAAATACAAAATATTGCTACAATAGAGATAAAAACAAAACTAATTAATTTCTTGAGATATTGTGAAAGACGATGGCAGAAAAACAAATACGTTATTGAATGTGTAAACGATAGTGCAATGCTATCTATCTCCCCTACTACAAAGTAGAAATATTGTCTTTAACAACATATTGTTAAGAAAACCGAAGAAAACGGAATGCGCTATTAAATGCTTTAAGCTCTTAATTCTAAAATCAAAAACAAACATAATTACCAATAATTTGCAAACTGTATAGAAACAAATTATAGACTTTATTTACTTAATATTTATCTACAAAAAAAAATACATATGTTTTTCTCTAATATATCTTAATTTATACAAAACTACTAAGTTAATAGCAAAATATTTTCCAAATGGGACTGTCTTTTTTAGGTTTTTTTTATTACCTTTCCTTTACAAAAAGAAACAAAAACCGTAATTCAAAATGCAAATTGAATTTTAGCAAAGTATTAAATGTTAAAACACAAAGAAATTATCTAAAAAAAATATTTTTAGTATGAAAATTTTTTATTATTAGAACTCATAGTTTAATGTGAAAAGCTCAGAATTTTCCTTCTTTTTTTCTAAAAAAAAAAACAAACAAAAGAAATCCATTCCAACATCCTAGTAATGTACCATATTTATTTACTTAACAATGTAAATAAGTTAAGGAGGATTCAATTCCCCATTATCTCTTATTAAAATCCCTTTTTGCCCCCTACAACTGCAAAGAAACACGGTCTAAACGCATACAAAATAAAGAATAAATTCTAGATATTTTTGTGTCAATGTATATATTTTAAGAATATTATTACTATTATATACATATATATTTAGCTATAAAATATATATTTGAATCGTATGAAATTACATTAAAAAAATATAATATTTAAATATATACATAAATATATTAAAAATATATTACAAGTGTTTTGTTTTTTATGCCGGGGCCAAATTATTTCATTCGATTACGAAAAAGAACTAGATCGGAATTCATTATAGAATATACTGTTTTTTCCGGAGCCTCAAATGTTTTTATAACCTCAGCCATTTGATACGGCCAAAACGTGTCTCATCGAAATAACGATTTTAGACCCCAGGTCTCTTTGCACCAAATCCGTTTCAGGACACTTGGAGTCGATCTACCGATGTAATCGCCCGATTGTCTTCAAATTACGCACGTCACAATAGTTTTAGTAACCCAAGGTCTGGTGCAAAGATGGAATATATAGGTCGATTCCTTCTGGTAGCTCTCTCACAAAGGGTCAACATTTTAAATATCCATGAAGCTCATAAAACGCGAAATTACATCCGATTCCATTCAGACTTGGTTTATCTCAATATTTCCAACAACACAAGATCTGTTATAAATATGGTAGAGATTATAAAATCCGAAATAAGCATACGGTTCTCTTCATATTTCACACATACGATTATTTCCATTAACACAAGACCTGCTGTGAAGATGGGATATATCGGTCTACTCCTTCTGGTACCTTCCCCACAGACGATCAAATTTTTGAATATCCATGAAACTCATAAAACGCGAAATTAACACCCGATTCCATTCAGACTTGGTTTATTTCCATATTTCCAACAACACAAGATCTGTTATAAAGGTGGTAGAGATCTTACCACAACTTCTGGTACCTCCCCAACAACGGGTCCAAATTTTGAAAAATTATATCTCTCATAAAATGCAAAATAAGCATCCGATTCTTTGCAAACTTCAGACATCTTAATATTTCTACTAGCATCCGAAATCCGAAATAAGCATACGGTTCTCTTCATATTTCACACATACGATTATTTCCAGTAACACAAGACCTGCTGTGAAGATGGGATATATCGGTCTACTCCTTCTGGTACCTTCCCCACAGACGATCAAAATTTTGAATATCCATAAAACACTCATAAAACGCGAAATTAACACCCGATTCCATTCAGACTTGGTTTATTTCCATATTTCCAACAACACAATATCTGTTATAAAGATAGTAGAGATCGGACCACATCTTCTGGTACCTCCCCCACAACGGGTCAAAATTTTGAAAAATTATATCTCTCATAAAATACGAAATAAGCATCCGATTCTTTGCAAACTTCAGACATCTTAATATTTCTACTAGCACAAGATATAGTGTGAAGATGATACATATCGACCTACCCTTTTGTGGTACCTCCCCCAAACTATCAAAATTTTAAATACTTAAATCTCTCATTACTTGCGAAAGAAGTCAGCGATTCCGTTCAAACCTAGTATATCTTCATATTTCTCTCAACAAGAGATCTGATGTGAATGAATTTTTCTGCTAGTAAGCTAATCCGGTTCTAAATTCAGGTTCAACATTTCGGCTACTTTCGCGGTCTGTAATCAAAGATCTTCTAGAGTGAGTGGTTTAAGTTTGTTAGGGCAATTTAGGAGTTGCAGTGTTTTTGTCAATTCGTGCCCAATACGAAATGAGACGACTGCACCATCCCGAACGTAATTGCGTCTAAATTACCCTAGATGGGGGATGGACTCCGAGAATGTCATTCATACTGTGATAGTTGATGGTGGCATCTGTGGCTGCATGAATACCACTTAGATCTGTTCCGGAGATATCACTCCACCTTGGGGTTGAACTCTAACATTAGATATTTAGTCGTTTCCACCGAAATTGAATCAATATGAAATTTACATTTTTAATTTAATTCCCATCGAAATCTTTTCGATTTTGGTGCCTTCATTTAGCACCTGAACATGATGAAGATGGTCATGGTTTAGAGAGTTTTGGAACAAGTAAAAAATAGAATCTATCATTTACCTGTTATTCGCTTTGTGATAAGAATTTGTTTGGTAGTTCCAAACGCACACAGCTTAAGATGTTGTTAATATATGGGCATGGGACTTATTTCCGTTTTCTGTGGCATTCGCCGATTATATAACAAACGTAACAGGGGGATTGAAGAATCTTGATCGTCCGTATGCATTTATCTTTGCGGATATTACTTATGTCTTTGTTCCACTACAAGTCTTAGACGAAAACTATGAAGGCTACCTTTTTTAATTTTCAAAAGTATTTTATTTAATCTCTTTATTTGCTCTTTTGTTTTAATTATGGAATGTTTAAAAAAAAATATAAATAAATATTTTTTCCTAAAATCTATTTAACTTGCTTTCCGGCAACATACACCTTGGAGATATTACGATCATCGCCAGTATAAATGAATTTCTGTACCATTTCTAATAGTTTTACTTCGGCTGATTTTTTGTCATAATCTTCCATGTTGTAGAAACCGAAATTGTGCAAAGGATACACCCCGGTATCGATTAGCAATGCATCAAATTCTTTGCCCACCACAAAATTGCCACATACATTATCCAGAGCCAAGGCCTCGGCACCACCCAATGTTGCCAAATAGATGGCTTGTTTGTAATCAAGTGGTTTATAGTCAGCCTTCTCAGCATTTTGTAATTTTCCAGTACCGAAAATATGTTGTTTTTTAACAAACTCAATGTGATGGGAAACATCAAGGGCTCGTAAGATGGCGTCTTGGATTGAAATGGAGTTACCACCAGAGACATCTGAAAAAATAACACAAATATCCAATAATGTGCCTGTAAAAAAACGCACAAACTTACCTGTTCCCAAACCAACTTTTACACCATTTTCTACCAAGCGTAAAACATCACAAAATCCAGAGCTGAGCATTGTATTTGAGGCCGGACAATGGGCCACAGAAGTGCCGCGTTCTTTGAACAAGGCAATCTCTGCATCTTCCAGATGGACGGCATGGGCCATAACAGTCTAAAATTAATAAAACAATTTACAATATATGACTTGTTGTAATTTCAAATTTTACTTTACCTTATTTGTCAAAAGTCCCGCATTGTCGTAGGCCTTGGCATAAGATGTCGAGAATAACTGCTTAACAAAATCAATCTCTGCCACACTCTCGCTTATGTGACTCTATAAAGATATATTTTGTAATGTAAGGTAAATTTATTAAATTAAGTCGATTATTATTATTTTCACCTGTACATGCAGATTATGTTCCTTGGCAATGGCACCCAAACCACTCAACAATTCCTTGGTACAACTCAGAGCAAATCGTGGTGTAATAATTGGTTTAACCAATTCTGTGGAAAGTTTCGACATCTCATCTACAAATTCTTTTGTAGCGCTTAATGATTCCTCGGTTTTCTCTCTGTGAAAATATAATTCAATTGCAATTTAATTGGTAACTTGAAACAAAGCCCAGTCCCGATTCAGCTGACAAGTTTTGACGTTTTTGTTATTTTGCATGAATACAATTTAAAAGGAGGGTATCAGAGTATATTTGCGCTAAACTTGTCAATCTGAGTGGGACTGACGTGAAATCTCTAATTTTCCAATACTCACACATAAAAGTCGGGACTATTGCAATTGGAACAAACTTTACCGACCAAAGCACGTTGACCTTGTCTCAAGGCTTCTTTGGCTAGTATTAAAGTGCTATCCTTGTTATTGGTGCCAAAATATGATGCCAATGTAGTGCCGCTTTTAATGGTAGCTTCCTGAAAGGATAAGTCAGATTGGTATTGTAATAAATGAGGTACTTTTTTACTAAATGTACAATATCGCAGGATGTGACCAAAAGTGCCATTACATGCCCCATCCTACTCATAATCCAAACATATTTTTTTAATTTTCACATGGAAACCATAATCCCCTTAATGTGGATCCCATCTAAAAATGAAATACTCACCACAACTTTTGTGTAAACTTTACTGGCAAATTCCTGATCGGTAAATTTAGCTTCCAATGGGAATGTATAGGTGTTTAACCATTCAAGCAATGGCATATCTAAGCCTAAACCGATTTGTGCAACTTGTGGAGCATGAATGTGACAGTCCACAAGACCGGGCATAAGAAATTGTTCCTTGGTCATTTGTGTGATTTCAGCATCTTGAGGAAAATCTTTACCAGCACCATTTTTCCATGCAACATAATCATCGCCTTCGCCAACAATCTATAATAACACACACACACAATCATAAATATTTATAGTTTTTGATTATTGATCTTACGATACGATATCGCTCGCATTGAATGATTATTACCTTTCCATTTTGAACGGCTACAAAGCCATTTGTGTAGATAACAAATTCATTTAGAGATTTTGTATAGATCACTTGTCCCAAGAATACTTTGGCTGTCATGTTGACGACGTTGTCTTGTTCTGGTGGTCGTTAGATGGTGTTCTTATTGAAATATTTCTGAATTAATTAATTCTGAACGTGTAGCTTGTTTACACGATCGAACAGCAGAGTTCAAATCATATCATGTTCTTATCAAAAGCTTCAATTGAATCAATGAGCTTAAACAACAGAGATGTAACAGTTGGTATGAAAACATTAGGTATGTTCGATAACGCATTATGTACAAAAATGACTTAAATTTGAAAAAAAAAATAAAAGAGATAATAAAAGTTGACGCAATAAAAAATCTGTTTACTGATAGTTATCCCAATTCCGTCAAAAGTGGATGCTGTGATTTTGTGATTTGAAACACTAATAGTTTGTAAATGTTTACGCGTTTCGAATTATGCCTGTAAAAATTGTGATTTCAATTTCACAATTTTCATAAGTGCTAGATCAGGTGCGAAAATGGACAATATAGGTTAACTCCATCAATAATTATAACTCTTATAAAATGGGATGTAAATGTCCGATTATCTTCAAATTACATGCATCACAATATTTTTACTAACTCAAGGTCTGGTGTGAGGTCTGGAATATATCGGTCTACTCATTTTGGTTTCTCCCCCACAATGGCTCAAAATTTTGAATATCCATGAAGCTCATAAAACGCGAAATGACTGGACATGTCTCAACATTTCCATGAACAGAAGATCTGTTATAAAGATGGTAGAGATTGGAGCATTTCTTCTGGTACATCCCCCACAAAGGATAGAAGTTTTTAATAACCAAAATAAGCATAAAATCCGAAAAAAGCATTCGGATCTCTTCATATTTCGCACATCCCATTATTTATAATATCTGCTTTGAAGATGGGATATATCGGTCCACTCTTTCTGGTACCTCCCCCAAAAAGGGTCAAATTTTTGAATATCCATGAAGTTTATAAAAGTAAACATCCGATTCCATACATCTGAATATTTTATACAACACAATATCTCTTACAAAGGTAGTAGAGATCGGACCATTTCTTCTAGTACCTGGCCCACATAGCGTTCCAGATTTTAAAAAACAAAACGCTCTCTTCAAATTTCACACATACCTACATTTTTGTTATGCTATTTTGCTATTTTTTGTTTTGAAGAATATATATCTGCCATGATACAATGAAGAGAAGGTAGGCTAATTTTGAAAAAATAGCAAGTATAGAGGTCTACCTGTTTGGCTTGTAATGTCAGAATTAGTATCAAAACAATAAAAAATCAAACCACTTGTTGCATTAATTTTGAACAAATAATTGAAAACCGCGAAAATTGAATGAAAGATCAACATTTCTTTTTAAAATCATGTTCTATATATCTCTTATGGTTTATTTCGCGACAAAAACTGTAGACTTTGTCGATGCATATATTGCAATAATAATAAAATACACCCGAATTTGAATATTTTCTGAACAATTTTTTTATTATTGAAAAGAATATGCACACATAAACAAATGAAGTAACCACCTTTTTAATTTGGACTCGGATCCATTTCGCTTTGGCTTTCAGAGAGCCCATGGCATAAGAATACAGGTAGATGCATCAACGCTTGGGAGCATTTATATGCCAAAAAAATTTAAAAGTTTTATCAAATATAAGTAGATTTTTATATATTTTCTTATACGACATCATTCGGAGGTTATTATAATCCGTGTTTTTCAACAATTTTTGCAAATTTATATAATTTTTCATTCAACATTTTCAATTCCAAAATTGGTTTGATAGTTCATTGTCCCAACAGCTGTGTCGACGCGTCTACCTATATTCTTCTACCATGAGAGAGCCAAATGTTTCTCCTTCAACTTGGTTGGCCCTAATATTTTCAGAACTATGAATTATAGAACACTAACAACAGCTGTTAGCTTTTGTTTGCTTTGGATTCTCGTTCTAAATAAAGCGACCAATCAGAAAAACCTGCAAAGATGTGTCAACTTGATTGCGAAAACAGCGAAAATAAATATTTATTTTTTGCATTTTAAAATGTTTTTCATAAAAATCTTTGATAATAAATATATTAAAATTCCAACAAAATGAATGAAGGGGAATGTGCTCAGTGCGAATGTGAATGTACTGGCAACAGGGGGAAGAAATGCCGCCGATTGTGTTCAACGGAGAAGAAGAACAAATCATCAAGCAAAGTCTCGAAACAAACTCATATTGTTGAGGAAACAGTAGATGGCGTCCACAGCTATTACTGTACGGCCTGCCATAAACGATTTAGGAGCCGTACCCAAAAATATTACCATTTAGAATGTAATCAATTACATGAAAAACTGTTTCGATGTGATTCTTGTCCAAAGGTATATAATTTTGAAAAAAGCAATTAATAACCAAGGACTCCAAAGGTTTATTTGTATATTTTTAGACCTTTTCCCGACAATCACAATTGAAATATCACAGAGAATCACATGCATCTCCTGTTAACAAATGTTCCAAATGTGATAAAATATTTTCAAATCCATTGGCTTTAAAGAAACATGAAGGTCTGCATAAAGCTGAGCCAAAACCTTGCCCACAATGTGATAAAAAGTTCTTAAAAAAGACTTCATTGGAAGAGCATATAGCCCGTGATCATATGCACAATTTGCCCTATGCCTGTGGCAAATGCAATAAAAAATATTCTTCAAAATCCACACTACAGCTGCATGAACTATCTCATGAAAGTAAGTATCCAACTACATGTGAAATAAAAAGGGGGACACAGTTAATCTGTTCAATATCTTTTCTTTAGAAAAAAGATTCGAATGTAATTTGTGCGGTAAACATTTTCAACGTAATTCCATTTTAAATTTACATCTAAAACGCCATTATCAAACAACACCAAACTACAAATGTTGGGGGTGTGAGAAAATGTTCTCAGAACTCGGTGCTTTGTCTAGACATCGTAAAATACATGAAGGTAGGTCATTGACATTTCGTTGGTATTTTCGATACAGTAATTTTCATAAATTTATAGAAGATGCTGTACGCTATTATTGTACATTGTGTGATTTAAATATTTTGCGTAAGGATAATATGGCAAGACATATAAAAACCATACATCCCGATGAAAGTTATGGGAATATTGTCCAGATATTAAAGCCTACTGCAAACATAAACAATCAGCTAACTGAAACCATTACAAATAAGACTGAAAGAGAAGATGATGTGCAACAGCATGTTGTTGTTGAACCTAATGATATTGGTGATAATACATCTAAAAATGTGGAATCATCAAATAATGTTGTCATTATTGAAAATAAATTATTACAAAGGCCATCTACATATTCCCTGGATGACCGACAAACATTGAATCAAATTCATGTTATTACTGCCCTACCCGCAACCAAACAGACTGATGATATTCAACAGACAAGTGAAAGGTCTTTTGAAATTTGCCAAAACGATACAACACGTGAAAATAATAAAAATGAAAAATGGGAATCTAGATTTCAAACTCAACAAAAACTGCCAGATGTAGGCGATGTGCAATGTAAAACACAAGACCCTGATTTGAAATCTAAAGAGTCGACAATGTCCACTAAAGAATCGGAGAACATTCACCAGCCCATTGTTCTTCATACACCCTCGGTTATACGATCTGTGGGTAATGTTAGTAAGAAAATTATATTTCAATTAAATGATGCCGAGGCAATGAAAAAACCCAAGGTATCTAACTCGGCATTGGATTACGAATATAAACATAAGAAATATAATCATCATTACAATGTCGATTTGTATCGTAAAATTTTGGGTATAACTGGCGACGATGACGAAGACAATGAACAGGAAAATAACAATAATAATAATTATAATTCTCAGTTGGAAGAACAGCCTGAAGTGATAAGACCTAGGGATCAAGAAGAATGTTTTAATGGAAACACAAATGGAAATGCTGCTGCCGTGCATTGGCGTAAGAGTTTTAAGCACATCTATGAAACGTCTTCAATGTAAAGAAGCATATATTTAAGAAATATATATAAATAAATCTGAATTCAAATACAGAAACATTTATCGAGCAATGAAGTGAGATTTTATGTTATGTGTAAATGTCAGATAATCTTCTGTGTCAGAATTTATTTCTCCAAACTTACTAAAAGCAACCTTGGCTCAAAAACAAAGATTGCTCAACTTCAAAAAAATTGGAATTGCAACTCTGTGCTGGAGTCTTATACTGTCAAATAGACATTTAAATATGCAACACATACACAAAATGTGTATATGTTTTAACAGATGGTGCCCTTAAAAAAATGTATTTAGGGGGTAGCTTTGTTTTACTTTCTGTAATTGTGCCATGGATTCCTTCACATACTATTTATGAAGCTAAGTATTTTTTATTAACTTAAGTAAATTTAATTTATAAAAACAAAACACATTAATCCATTTGTTTTTCATATAAGGCCATAATGTCATTTTCACCCATTTTTAACGAAGCTTTAAGTTTCCATTTTAGCTTGTCGTTGTCTTGTGGAAAATTTGGTTCCAATGGCAAAGGATCCGTATAAACATTTCTTTTTTCCAACGGACCAATTATGCATATCCATTTCCCTTTGTATAGATTAAGATATTGTAAAAATGCTGGACGATTATTAAAATAACAAAATAACAGGGCAAAATTCCAACTATCTCGTAGACAGCAGGCTCTAAGATAATCATCTTTCGTCACATCCATGCTATCTATGTAATTTAATTCTATAAATGATTTTATGGCATAATTGCTGCACCACCATTGTCGATCTACCTCTACGCCATAGGTTTCAACATCTTTAAAGAAAAGCATATATTGAGGAAATGAACAAATGAAAAAGAATAACTGTTTTTGCATCTACTTACTTAGACTTTCTCGTAGTATCCATTCAAATAATCCATTGCCACAACCTATGCTTAACAAACAGCCAATGCCAAATTGCCGTAATATTTTGCCCAGCTGCCATAAACATTTCTCGTTTGGCCATATCCATAGTAATTTTCTACGTATTTCCGTATCCAGATTTTCACCATATTTCAATAGAGAACGCCAATTTTTGGTTTCATTTTTAGTTAAATAATACACTTCCCTGAGACAGCTTTCCTCGTTGGCTGATGCCATGGCATTCATAAAGAAATATCAATTTAATTGAACTTTTCGGGGAAAGCATACGTGATTGGTACACTGATTTACAAAATTTGTAATATAAATAAAATGGTTGATACCTACTTAGAACAGATGAAATAGCTCCGGATTTCAAAGAACTGAACAGCTAAAAATCTTGATATATTGAGGTGCGAGATCGAAACTGCACAGACGTTGTTATACCACATAGTGGCAAAGGGTATTACGTCTTTGTGCATTTGTTTGTAACATGAAGAAGCGAGGTAGACCCATAGTTACTTTTGACGATCTTCGTAGAATCACTTTCTGAGTCGTCTGTCAGTCCGTCTGTCCATGTATTCTTGTGAACAAAATGTAGGTCGCATTTATTATTCGATTGAGATGATCCGATTGTTTGGCCCAAGAACGAACCCTAAGGAAATTGGTGATAATAGGATCAGATTTGGATATAACTCCCACATAAATCTTCAACCGCTTTCGGGTTACTTGTGCACCAAATGTCCAATATCAGTCCAAATGACCTGAATGTTGGCACATCCGACCGAATTCAGTCTGGAAGCATGTACATCAAATTTGGTGAAAATCGGTTCAGATAAAACTATAGCTCCCATATATATGTTTCATCACATTTGCAATATGCACCCAAAATGAGGTTTGGTATCAGATGTCAGATACAGCCCAAAAATACCTCTGCCAAATTGTATCGAGATCGATTCAGATTTGAATATAGCTCCCATATATATCTTCAAACTCCCATATATATCTTCGATTTCGAGTTTATTGCGCAAATAATGGGCCCAAAAGAAGTGAATTTCGGGACGTACGTTTCCATTTGGTGGAACTCGGTTCTGATATATATTTTTTAATACAATCCTTCTCGAAGTGATATCATGCACTCTATAGCAATGTTATTTGGTCTAAAGGATTAAAATGTCTCCGCAAATTAAGTGAAAATCGATTCAGAATTGGATATGTTTCCCATATTTTAGTTCCCTCTGAAATCAAAGTATAACCGCTCTAAAGCCAAATGTTGATAGGTGGTATGATCTACTTCAAATAAATACTAAATATGCATAGTGGTGTAGGGTATCATATAGTCGACTCCGCCCAACTTTTGACTTTTCCTTACTGTTTTTCTGGATCCTAAAATATCGTTTAGTGCATTTTATTATTTTTCATACGGCTCTTTTGTAGACATGTGTAGTTTCTGTTTTTTTTTTCTTTCCTTATAACGCACAAATATTCTCTGATCTTGGCCGTGGCCATTAACGTGCCATGTGCATGCTGCAGATGGCATTTGGCCAATTGCTTATAAATATGGTTGGCATTTAAATGATAATTGTCTCTCTCTATTAATTGGTTTGTTTTGCTTTGGTGTCTTAAGACTTATACTTATGCAAATATGCAAAAAATCAAATACTTAAATTTCGTTATAAAAAATGTAAATTTTTATTTTGTTTTTACTTTTCTTTTGTACAACCAAACTTGTTTGGCCAAATTTTGGTTTTCAAAAATCCACAACAATAGAACGAATATTGCACTAATAACACCTGTCCCCAAATGCAATTTAAATGATATATTATTCTGAAAAAAAATAAACAGAATCTTTAAAATCGGGAGAACACAATATGCCAGATATTGATTACCTTGGTATAATAACAAACAATATAAGTTATTATAAGACCAATGGAAAATACTTTCCCCGGTATTAATCCTTTTAAGGGTCTATAATCTAATGGCCGGTATTGTTGCCAAATATATTTACAACTGCAGGAGAATTTAAAATTATGAAAATTAACAAAAATAAAAAGTACAAAACTACAACATTACCTGCTACATATTCGGCATAACATATTTACACAATTGGCAATTATAAACCCAACTGGACCAAAAATTCTTGTCAACACAAAAGACATGACAATAAATATGATGGAAAAGATACCCATTACATAATTATATTTGTCAATTTGCTTGCTAGTATTCGTGGCAAACATATAACCCTCGGTAATACCATTTATGGCTAGGAAGTAAATGGCTATACAATGGCAACGTAACAATTTTTCAGGCAAATTATCAGCAACAAAATTGGGTCCACCATATAAATACAACACGGAGTGTGAATAATTTTGTCCAAACATGGTAGCCAATAAGCCAATAGATGTTATGGCCAACAAAAGGTTTTCCAACAGTCGAGCAGCTTCAGAAATTTTCTTCTACAAAATAGAAAAGAAAAATTGATGAAATATTCTTTCCCATAAAATCCCATCCTTACTAACCTTGTCCTGGTCCTTTAGTTGGACATCCCTTGCTATTGTCTGTGTAAAATAAAAATAACTGCTGTCTTCAATTGGTCGAAATATAAATCTGGCTGCTAAACTACCCAAATTGTTGACAATGTCGTAAGTGGCCTGTTCACTAAAGCTAAGACCAGGAGTCAATGACATGACGTATTTTTCGCCTTCAGTGAGGATTTGTTTAACAAATGTCTGCTTGGCAAAACTCATTGTAAACTTTACCAATTCTTTGTTTAATATCTCTTCCTGAAAATCGAAAAGCTAATTAAATGATATACAATCCCAAATTCTTTAAAATATACTCACCTTTTTCTTTAGCATTACACAGGGCAGAAAGTCTACCACACTCTGAAATGGAAAATCGTCCATACTTCCATACATATTTGCATCCCATTTCGTAAGTTCTTCATTCCTTTTGTGTTCTTGTTTAAATTTCTTCAAGCATCGTATATAGTAATAATAGAAGCCATAGTATCCAGCAAAAATTGTTGCGGTACTGGCCAATTGTGCATATGCAAAATATTTAATGGCTTTTGATTCATTCAAACCCAAAACCAAAAAAAGGAAAACACTTGAGCGTACCAAAATTTGTAGTGTACTTATAACGACTTTCAGTTTTACAAAACAAAATACTTGACTAACAAAGCATGGTGCTTCCGCACAAAATTCCAACAAACAAGACAATGCCACGACATAGCAGGCAAAGTGATATTGTTGCCGGTATGCAATGTCTTCAACAGGTAACATTACATGCAACCACAGTTGTACACATACCAATGAAATGCAAAGACAAATTGGGAGCCTACAAATAGATAAATTACATTCAGAGCTACATCATAGAAGAGTAGTCATAACACACGTACGTAAGCCATTGCTGGTTTATTAATTGGGCCCAAGAACACTTCTGCAACTGTTTGGTGGAGCTAACACTTAACGCCGCCCGGTTTATTGCTTCTCTGGATAAAAATATTACCGTGCTTTCAAGCAATAGCAGGCGAACATTGATTATACCCAAGACATCACGGCCTATGGTACGTATCATAAAAATGTTAACAGCAAATGTTAGAATTCGGCAGAAAATCTAATTTAAACAAAATTTATTTATTAAAGACTGATAGCACTCATCAAAAAACATACCTGAAAAGCCATGTTTAGAATGGCACTTAACAGGCTGCTTTTTAATATATTGCGAGCCATGTTTGGTGATTTTCTTAATAAAAAGTGTATCCTTTCAAGAAATGTGGCTCATTTCTAGCAGCCTTACAGTTAATTAATAAAATGTTAGTATTGATTCATCAGAGTTAAAAGTTCTTATCAAATAGAGTAGTTTTGTTGTTGTCGTCAAAAGTTGCAGACAAAATTAAAAACGTTCCAAATGGTGCGAATAACAATGATAGGCAATACGCGATAAAAATAGATAGAAAACATAATCGCCTTGTTTACGAATGAGTGTAATGCAATGTCATGGATTTGGTCTTCTTCTCCAATGGATACAACCGGTGGCATTTCTTTCCCTTGGTGCCAGTATATTGACTTTCGCATTCCTCTTCATTAATTTTTGAACTTGAATATAATTATCAAAAATTTTTATGAAAAACTCTTTTCTTTTCCGTTTTTTTATTCTGATTTTACTCCTTATTTAGATTATTTAGAACGAGAGTCCAAAGCAGAGTAAAGCTAACAGCTGTTATTAGTAGTTTGCATTTGAACGTTTCCGATTTTTATGGGTAATGGCATGAAAGCATCCAACCACTGATTAGCTATGTTTCTAAATAGATTTTATTCACTTTGTATTTTTTTTGGAATGGTAAATATATTTTCTATTAAGCCCTACTAACTTCTATGTGAAATTTACATGCTGGTATACATTGCACTTCTGCTGTAACGCTGCTATTTATGCCCAGATTGCTCAAAGCTCCGCGTACTAAACCACAAGTGAATGCAACAAACTGGAATAAAGAAAGTTACATACATTCATTTGGATCAACATTGACACAATAAATTAATACCTTTGGTGCATGCTCCAATTGTTTTTCTCCCGGTGTAATGCGTGTCAAAAACCGAAATGCTTTGTCCTGGACAACATACATTCCCTGGTTATTGGTTCGTAAATTATCCACTTGCTTCTTGTAAATGGATGTCCAGAAATCTGTACAAATAAACTTGATCGTTTCCAGTTCATCTTTGAAACGGGGAACATCTCGTGTCATACGTTCAATGAGACGATATCCTGTTGTGAATCCTATGTATTCCAGGGTGGAGAAATCGTTTTCCTAAGAAAAAAAAAACAAACGAAAGATAACCAAGGAAATTCCAGTGAAGGGAAGTATTTCTTACCTTATTACCATACAGACAATAATTTACAATTTCGGCATGAAGGCAGTCAAATACTATTTCTTCGGACATTGTGTTGATCAACAACAATAACTTTAAATTACTATTTATTTATAAATAATAATCCCATAGAGATGTAAAATTTTCGATGAAAGACTCGAAAAAAGGTATTCATAGATCGACTCTCGATCTTTGGCTTTAAGTGCAAACATGGATTGAATAACAGGGGATCGTAATTTTGGAGTGACGATTGAAAGGTGGCATTTCAAAGGCAAATGCAAAGTAAGGACTGAGACCAGTTATTTGTTTTATTAATTAACAAGGAAGGAAAATAGTTTTACGGACTTACCACTACATATCCCTACGATAAAAAGAAAAACAAGAACATCTGGTGGTAGCAAATGCTCGACCTAATTTAAATGCGTTTCTTTCAAGCCGGCTTTTCCAAACAAAAACAAACAATTCTTCAGAGGAGTGGGCCGGATCATTTTTTATTTTCAATGGAAAAATCACAGGCAAGTTTAAATTCCCTTCATTCTAAGAAAGTTTTTTAATTCGTTACTTCATTTTCCACCAGAAAAATGTCTACACATTATAAAATCTCCACAATTATTGACTCCATGCTTGTAAAGATTGTGGCATTGGTCATCTTGTGCTATTTATCTTATGGATCAACTCTCAATGGAAGCTTTGTGTTCGACGACACTGTCGCCATTAAACAGAACAAAGCCATTGTCCAAGTACCAACCAATTATACCGCTATATTTACTAGTGATTTTTGGGGTGCCTCAATTACCAGTGAAGATTCACACAAGTCATATCGGCCTCTAACTTCCTTGCTATTCCATTGGGAATGGATAAAGTGGCAAATGCAACCCAAACATATGAAAGCAATCAACTTAGGGTTGCACACCATCAACAGCATTTTAGTTTTGCTGCTCATAAAAAAATTCAAAGAATCATCTTTAAGCTTGAAATCCAGCGAAGAAATTGCCTTTGTTGCGGCAATTCTATTTGCTGTCCATCCCATACATACAGAAGCTGTTGCTGGTATCGTTTCAAGAGCAGAATTAATGTTTTGCTTGGTATATCTTATTTGTTTACACATATGTATAGCATGGCGCCAAAATTATTTGTGTTTTCTGGTGCTTATTTCTATGTTGACTTTTGTGGGAGTGCTATTTAAGGAATCAGCCATAACCATACCATTGGCATGCATATTTATTGCATTTGTAATGGAAAGTTTACACACTTTGCCTTTGAGACAGCAACTTAAACGAGTAATTTGCATGAGGAATATATTTTTGGGTATAAGTACATTAGTTATAGCCACATTTCGTCTATGGATAGCAGATTTCACCAATCCCAAATTTCGTAATGCCGACAATCCGGTGGCCCATGCCAGCAGTTGGAAAACAAGATTATTATCCCAAAACTATTTATATTTTTACAATATAAAAATACTCATAAATCCAATGGAGCTTTGCTTTGACTGGTCCTTTGGTTGCATTGAATTGATAGAGAAAATCAATGACAATCGTTTATTTAGTGTACTATGTTTTTATGCATTACTAGCAATTGTGGTAATTAATTATCAACGAAATTGCCCACCATTTGTGGCCTTGGGACTTATGATTATACCCTTCTTACCGGCTTCGGGCATAATTAAAGTAGGATTTGTTATAGCCGAAAGGGTACTATATGTCCCCTCAATTGGATTTTGTTATTTAGTGGCGTATGGTTTTATCTGCCTCTGTAATAATGAAAGTTATCGTAAATTTTGGAAATTCGCATTCGCTATTTTTATATGGATTTTTGTTATGCGCTGTAGACAGCGTTCAGGGGAATGGTCAACAGAGGAAAAACTGTTTTCATCAGCCTTAGATGTGTGCCCTAATAATGCAAAGGTAATATAAAAATGATTATAATATATATAGGAATTGTTTGTTAATGTTTTGTAAATAAAATCTAGGTCCATTACAATATTGCCCGCTTGGCAACTGATATGCAAAATTATCCGAAAGCTTTCCGGCACTATCACTTAGCAGTAGAACTATCGCCAGACTATGACGCTGCTCTCATGAATTTAGGCAATTTATATCGAGATCAAGGCGATCTAGCAAATGCAGAAAAATATCTGAAAGCTGCATTGGAGGTTACACCAAGTTTTGCCACAGCCTGGATGAATTTGGGAATTGTTCAGGCGGCAAAAAAGAAATTTGATATAGCCCTGCAAAGTTATCAAAACGCCCTAAAATATCGCAAAAATTATGCCAACTGTTATTATAACATGGGTAATCTATATTTAGATCGAAAAAATAATAATGAGGCTTTACGGCACTGGCAATTGGCTGTGGCTATTAAGCCAACGTTACGCCAGGCCTGGACAAATATCCTAACAATGCTCGATTCGCAATCTAGATATGATCAGGCTTTAAGAGTATCGGACAATGCCTTGAAATACATTCCCAATGATACTTCCATTACATTTTTACGTGCCAATATTTATGGAAAACTTGGACGTTATGAAGAAGCAGAAAATCTATATAAACAAGTTGTGATCAAAGAGCCGCTTAATTATTTATACCATACGAATTTAGCAGTTTTATACCATCGTTGGAATAGAATATCCGAAGCAATTGATTCATATAAAAAAGCATTGGATTGTGATCCGAAAAGAGCCATAACTGCAAGAGAAAATATAAACAAGCTGATTAACAAATTGGCTAGTAAAAAGAAAACTACAGCAAAAAGTTGAGATTAACAACAATTGAGAGAATCTGACTTAATTACATTTAGATAATTCCATGTAGTAGGTTTAAATCGACACGGTCTTAAAATTCAATAAATTTTTGTTAAGAATGTTTTAATTAATTTTCTAATAAAAAGATATAGCTTAAGATTTTTTACCAATAAAATATTTATTTATATTGTACATTTTTTAAAGCCCAATATAATTTTTTGTTTATTTTTTGAGTTTGTGTGTACAAACATGGCAACCGTCTGCAATCAAGCCTCCTCCCTCGCCACAACATTGTTCAACAATAAAGGTGGCCACCATTTTGGGATTTCTACAGAACAAGGTTTTCCGTCTATGGTCAACTCTTTGGTTTTTAATGCCTTTTCAATTCGTACTAAGGCCAGGGCTTTCGTTTCTATGCTACCAAGTACATTGCCCACTTTTGCTCCAGCATCGTTGCACATTGCATAGGAAGAATTTTCCATTAGGGGATTCTTTAAATTTAACGGCATATGCCTTTTACGTATTACCCCCGTATGATGAACTCTTGCCGTTAGCTCTTGGCCAATGTAACAGCCTTTGTTGAAACTAACACCATTTAAAATATCACAATTGGCCTCCAATGGAAATTGTTTTCCTGGCGGCATATCTTGCACTCCTTCCGCCACACCAAGGCTATATCTGTGAAGTCTATAGTTACTGGCCACATTTGAAAGTTCAATTTTAGTGTTTGATAGATTCTTCAATAGTTTTGAGATCTCTTCAGAAGTACGATCTGATGTTGCTAATAAACGATATCCCAATTCAGGTAATCTTGGGTCGCCTATTATGTCCATATTATCTACAGGCATCTGAGGCAGCACACATGCTGGACCTTCGCCAACTTGGAATACACACCACACCTTTAACTCTTCTGCTATGTTATCAATTTGTATTTTCCTTCTTACCCGGTACAATTTTAAATGGCGCATTAATTCATTGCAAACGTCTTGGTCAGATTCAATCAATATTGTGGAACTATCGCTGGGCGCTTTATACACAATAGCATCGTATAGCACTCTCCCGGCCTTGTTTAGGAACATGGTATACAGAGAACCCGTGTGCGAGGATTCAAGTTGCCTTATGTCATTTGTAGTAAGTCCTTGCAGGAAAGGTACAACATCTTCGCCTTTAACACGCACCAATTGCCTTTGTTGTAAGTCTTCAACTATGAATTTGTTTTCCTTTGTTGCTGCCGGGTGGTTAGTATGTGTTCTTCTGACTGATGCAACCCAACGAGAACACCAGTGCTTTAGGCGATTGTTACGTAGTACATTCATATTTTAACAGTTTCCGACATTAAAGAATGTGGTATGCAATGAAATCTATAAATTTATTTTAATAAAATGTCACTGTTTTCCTTTTTGTAAGTAATTTGATTAAATAAGACTATATTCTTTAAAGATTTATGGAAGATTTAGTTCTTGGGGGTCGTGGTTATCAATTGTAGCGTAATGTTTTGATTGAGAACAAAACGAACTAAGTATATTTTATATATTTTTTTTGTCACGAATCCCCAAAAGATTAAAATTATTGTCCAGTTAATGTATTTAATGTGTTCAGATAAATAAAATTAAATCAATTCTATAATATTATTTCACTTTATAGGGCATAGACAATAAAATTAAATTTTCAAAAATAATGTGTTATATCATTTTGCAATTAAATAAAAACAAACATATGTTCGGCCCATATGATTCAAGAATGACAACTTCGCGATTTTCCTTTAATCTTTGGTGATTTTTGGGAGACATTATTTACGTTTCCTTACTGAATGATAAAATAATAAGAATGACAACTTCGCGATTTTCTTTTAATTTTTTGTGATTTGTGGTAGACATTATTTACGTTCTCTTACATGGTAGAAGTATACAGGAAGTAAAATTGCCATAACTCCTTAAATATTGACATTTCGGGGTTTTTAACTATAATTTGTGATCACTTTTCTAAAGGGGAGAAATGACTTACCTTGAAATGACCATAACTCCTTAAATATTGACATTTCGGGGTTTTTAGCTATTATTTGTGATCACTTTTTTAAAGAGGAAAAATAGCATACCTTAAAATGGCCATAACTCCTTAAATATTGACATTTCGGGGTTTTAAGCTATAATTTATGACCACTTTTTTAAAGAGGAAAAATAGCATACCATAAAATGGCCATAACTCCTTAAATATTGACATTTCGGGGTTTTTAGCTATAATTTGTGATCACTTCTTTAAAGAGGAAAAATAGCATACCTTAAAATGGCCATAACTCCTTAAATATTGACATTTAGGGGTTTTTAGCTATAATTTATCACTTTTTTAAAGAGGAAAAATAGCATACATAATAATGACCATAACTCCTTAAATATTGACATTTCGGGGCTTTTTTAGCTATAA